GCCGCCCCAGAGGGGTCCAGATCTGGGCGAAGAGAGCCCCCAGAACGGGCATGGTAGCTCACCACGGTCACCACGTCACCCGAGCTGCTTCGACCACCAACTCCGTCATGCGCCACCATCCCCCGGCTGCAGCCACGGGCACCGCCGGCCATGGGAGCAAGCCGCCGTCCCGAGAGAGCTAGATCTGGAGCTGGAGCTCCCCAGGACAGAGCGGCGTCGGGTCTCCCTGATGGCTGAGCGGTCCGAGCCTCCGAGCCGCACACGCCGCTGCGTAGCGCCACCAGTGCCTGTGCGCGCCGTCGCCCACGCGCGCGAGTCCCCGCCGCCAGCCAAGTGCCCCGCGCCGCCACGCCTGGAGGGGAGGAGGGAGAGCCGTCCCCGCCGCCGCCGGCGCCGCGCGGGCTTTGCCCGATGACGCCCTCCGACGGCGGCGGGAGGAGTAGGAGGAGAGGTGAGGTGGGTGTCGGCGGCGGCTAGGGTTTCTCCCGAGCCGCTCGCGGGAGCGACACGGGAGCTGGGGGGATAAGGGTCATTCATACCTATACAAAGGGGGGAGTCGCTGGACTGGGAAGCGGCGTCGTAAAAGCTCCCCAATCGAGACTGCAAGGCAAGCTAGCAACTCACGGCTGGCTCTGTTGCTCGAGGTCAAGGTAAGGATGGAGGAGTGATGTCTTTTTTTAGGGAATGAGTGATGCAGTTTAACACCAGACAAAGAGTGCTACAATGGAAAATTGAATGGGCCGAAACTAACACCAAACAGAGAGTGCTATAATAGAAAGTTGAATGGGCCAAAATTAACACCAGATGACCAAAATTGTCATCAGAGCAGCGGCCCAGCACTGTTGGTGACCGATGTTAGTGACCGATGCGAGCGAACGAGCGCTAATGGTCTGGTCAGTGCTCAATCCCATGTCCGCTAGGATGAATTTATAGGAGTTTCTGGTGATCCGCAACTCCGGAAAAAAAGAATGTGTCTAGGGCACATCTAGATGTGCTTTAATTATTGCACATCTAAGTGAGTGAATCAAGCATAAAGAGAAAAAAAAAGGAAAAAATATTCACACGAATCTTAATGTAAGATCAATGACATATGATTTAGATGTGCAACACTTATGGCACATCTAGATGTGCTTTAGCAAAACTGAAAAAAATATGCTTCCTTGTTGCATGGTTCTTCCTACCATTGTCAGTTTCTAGATTTTTTTTTGCGGGGAGTCAGTTTCTGGATTTTCTTTCTGAATAAGATTACAAACAGTTCCTTCTTTGCCAGGCCACGCGTATATATATTTATTCGTCCTTGCTTTTATTCTTTCTTCTTTGCTACTCCTTCCGTCCCATAATATAAGAGTGTTTTGGACACTACACTAGTGTCAAAATCACTCTTATATTATGAGACAGAGGGAGTATTTATGTTGTTGTTACCTCCATGTGGTAAGTTAGCCAGTTTGGTTAGTTTTGAAGCTGTTTCTTTCTCTACAGGTTCTGTGGTGGTGCTGCTATGTCATTTGGCACTTGTTCACAAAAGCTCAAGGTACACATTCAGTAGACGGGCATTATTTTGCCATCTCCACTTTTTCCCATCTGTCAGAAGAAGAGGCTGATGTGAAGTTTCTACACCCAGGCTCAAATGCTCCTGGGTTAATAATAGATTAAAAAATGCAAAAAATTGTGAAATTTTTGTGGCAAAATTTGAGGAATGTTTGGTGTGTATGCGAAAATTCATCACAAAATCACATTGGTGTAAGGCGTGATAAAAAAACAAAATCGATGTTCTGAAAATGTTTAAAACGCATTTTGGAGCTCTGTTTTTTTTTTGCCGCGACTTTCACCAATGTGATTTCGTGATGAAATTTTACAAGCACAACAAACATTTCATAAAAGTATTATTTTACTGTTCACACCAGGAGCATTTGAGCCACAGTGTAGAAAGCTACTTTCGTGCTAACTAAATTATTTTTCCCTATTTCTGTACTTTACTTTTGGCATCCAGATTGTGTACGATGATGGCAACGTTGAACGACTGCAACGTAATAATAATAATATTGAAAAATGGGATTTCACTGCTGAGGTACGTACGTTCGTGCAGCCTGATGCGATGCTGCTGCTATTATCTTCTTTCTATTTCGTCTACTATCCTGCAGGAGCAAGACACGAATCCTAATGCAGCATCTGATATATGAATGTAAGCCATGACAAAGGAATAATGGCCTACAACCAATTAAATCTAGTAGTCAAAACTATACAGCGAATCGACGACGAATACCTGGGGTCGCTAAAATTACATTTCCACTGTCCAGCGCGGCTCGGGGTTCAGAAAGGGGGGAGGACCTACACAGAATTCTAGCCTGCATCCCTCAATGACATTACAGAGATGATGATGAGTTGATGACCCGTCCAACCCCAGCAATGAGATTATAGGACCTTTGCCGCATACACCTCCTTACATATTGAACGGAAGCAGCAGAGCTACCGGATGGTGATGTACCTGTTCGTGCCATGCTTGGCCCAGTGGTCCTTGAGGTCCACCGACGCCGAGAGATCGTGGCCCTCAGCCGCTAGTCGGCTGAGCAGCTTGGTGAAGGCGCTGCCACTCATCTTCCGTCCGCCCATGCGGGCATGGCGCTTGTTGGGCATCACCGGGAGCGGGTACATGGACATGCTCATGGTGCAGCAGGACGACTGCCACCCGCCGTTGCCCCACTTGTAGCACTGGCGGAGGACCCCCGTGCACGAGCAGGCAGGCGCGGGCATGGACGACTCGTCGAACGAGACCTGGTTCAGGCCAAGGTCTTGGTCCTTCCGCTCGTTCTTCATCTCAGAAGCGGCGCGAGCTGGATCCTCCCCGACACCAGACATTCCAGCATCTCTCCAGTCACCGCCGGCTTTCTTGGTTTTCCGGAGCACGCCTGACGGCCTCTTCAGTGGAGATGCTTGGGAACTGTTCTTCTTGGGCTTCTTTGCCTTTCCAGCAGCAGTCACCGGGGCTGTTGAGATTGGGTATGCGTCTGATATGTGCATTTCCCTCGCATGGTCATATGGAGAATCGGCCAGTTGCAGTGGTGATGATTGAGCATGGGGCTGCTGGTCGTGGTGGTGGAAGTTCTTCGCTCCATTGAGAGATCCTGGGTTGAATCCGTTTCCGCTGTTCATATTAAATCCATTTGTACGGGCTAGTTCAAGTGCAGCAAGGGCATTGTCTCGTTCGACGATTGCAGCATTCCGTTCAGCCATTGCAGAGTCCCGCTGGGCAAACGCCATGTCTCTCTCAGCCATTGCAGCTTTCTTCTCAGCCAGAGCATGGTCTCTCTCCATGATGGCGGTGTCCCTCTCGCTCATTAGTGCTAGGAGGTTCATGCTGTGGTGGTCCTTCATTTGCCTTTGGGGCATCATCCACTGAAACACAGAGCAACTATCATAAGAACCACACTCTTCTAGAGAGCAAATCATTCCGACAATTATGATTAGAAAAAAATATATAACATGATGTTTGTGACAATTCTGAATGCAGTACATAAAAGCTAAACATCAGAATTTCCAAGACAATTATAAGTTTTGATCTTCATTTCTTGGGCATGGTTGTTTCAACTGTACCATTTTCTCTGCAGCTATGCAAGAGAACGAAACAAAAAATATGACAAAAGAGGGCTATGAAATTTGTTACTATCTTATCACCATGAACTTCTGCTATTTAGTTTGATCATTCCTCAGTTTGAAGAAACTTTAGGGATACTATGTACATTAGCTGAGTGACAAGCACTGACCAGCATACTATCTCAACTTTTAGCTTTCTCATAAAGCTGAGTAATATTGCCTTCAGTCTAAAACAAGCACATGTACACTTTAGCCACTCATCTACAGCTTGTGATCTGGTTATGCCCTTAATGAAGATTTGTTACAGGACAATGCTTACTAGCAGAAGATAAATCAAATCAATGTTCTATGCCTTAATTACTACTCCCTCCGTCCCATAATGTAAGACGTTTTTTGACACTAGTGTAGTGTAAAATAACATCTTACATTATGGGACGGAGGGAGTAACACAGTGTAACTTTCATATGTCAACGAACACAATATAACTCTAAAATCTTGCACGATAATTATTCATGACGAATTACACAAACCTGAGTATGAAGTGCTTTATATGGGTCTGGCCTTTGCCTCCCATTTTCCCTATGTCCAAGGTTGTCCATTATCACATATGTTTGCAGACAGGAGAAATAGAGCAGCTATGTGACTACCTGCAAGATAAGAAGAAAAAGAGTCAAGGGTACAGCAAATATGATATCACACGGAAGGTATTGCCTAAGAGTAACATGGTTAGATTGTCTTGTTGTTATGTCAGAGCTCAAAAAAGCTACCATATAAAACTTGATTCATGAATGGATGAACGCATGAACCAGTTCAGAAATGAGATAGATACCAGAACAAAATGCATCGGTAAAATTGGGGAACGAAGTAGCTACGTGTGTTTACTCAATGCAGAAGAGAAGGCAACAAGTCAATCAGCTAGCCTCCATCGAAAAGAATTAGAAGCTGAACAACTATTCATTCACAGACTTTAACTCCAGAATCAGTTCCTCGGATAGCGGAAATGCAGAACCAGATCCTCGATATGGATCTCCAAAACCTTGGGGACACAACATGCCACATAGTTTCAAAGCTGAACAGCTTCGTATACTAGTATGATCTCTAGTTATTATCCTTTCGAGTTTCGAACATTGGGCTGAGTGAACAGTTATGGACATGACTCTGAATCTAATGCTGAGCATCATAGTAGAATCCAACTGCGCAGAATGCCGCCTTCAATTGAAAGCAGCAGTACACTCTCCACAGTCCGCACGCTCCGCTCACCAGAAGCTGTGACTGGGGAGTAACGCTACACAGGCCAGCCGCGGCACCGCACATGGAGGATGGAGCAGCGGCACTGCCGAGCCGCCGACCAGAGCACCAAAACTCTGCTTCCAGCCACTCCCAACTGAACCGAGTGCGAACCTGACACTCAAATGTCACCAACGATCAACATCACATCAAGCTCCAGCACTTGCACTCAGCGCGCCGTCTAATTGCAAAAGGGAACCAAACCATGACCAGCCGCCCCTCCTGCTGGTTCCCAGCCCGCCGTGAATTCGGACGAGGACGCCAAATCAACAGAGGGAACGAGCCCCAATCGGAGCCGCTAAACCCTAGATCACTCACCGAGCACCGCCCGCCGCTCCCTCCCCCCGGCGCCCGCGCGGATTCGCGGGCCCAGCGCAGCGAGCGACGAATCCCCTCCTAGTCCGCCGCGGCCACCCAATGCGGCCCCTCCCCTGCTCGCCGCGGAAATTTCGTTTGGGGAAACAATTAAGCAACCCCCGCTGCACTGTACTTATCACAAAGAGAGAGAGAGAGAGAGAGAGAGAGAGAGAGAGAGAGAGGGGTTACCACACAGTATCAGCAGCGGCAGAAGCTCCCGGAGGCGAGGAGGCGGGGCCCGCCGGCCAGCGGGACGGGGGACGACGGGGCACGGCCGCCGACGGCCGGGCCTGCGGGGTCGGAGCTGGCCGGTCGCCGCCGCTCTCCTCTCCCTCTCCCCCTCCCCCGTCTGTCTCGCTCGGACTTTGGGGGCGCTGGTGAATGGTGGGGGTTGGGGAGCAGGGGCGGCGGCGAGGATGGACGTCGACGCGCGGGAGGGAAGGGGGGAGGGGTGGCCCACGGTCCAGAGGGAGGCGGGGGTGGCGGGTAGATTGATGGTGGATGAGGCCGACGGGAGGAGAGGGGTGGAAGGAAACGCTCGCTCGCTATCTCCCTCTGCTTCTGTCGCTTGGAGAGACTTGCCGCCGGGGCCCACCGCTGGGCGGAGGTGTGGGCAATGAAGGAAGGCAGAGTCTTTGGACGACAGATCTCCTTCCAGCGGATACAACCACGCTGATTTTAATTTTAAATTAAAGCTTTTGTGCGGTTATTCTGACTTTTCTGCAAGGAAATCAGTAGCGGTAAGAGCAACTCCAACGGGACGATGGTTGAGGACGGATAAGCGGGTCCACCTCGGGCGTAAAACACGGAGAGGCGATTGCGAGGCGATCGGCTTGATAGCTAGGGTTATGGTTTTGCGGTCGGTGGTGCGGAGGATCGCGGCGGTGCGGGAGGAGGCGACGGCGTCTCCAAGCGTGCTTGAGCCAGCGTGCGGTTTCTCTCTCCGGTCATTGACATGGAGGGGAGGAAGAAGGATGGGGATGCAGCAGCGAGGAGCCATGCAGATGCATATGGGAAAACGGCGGCGGGGATGAACTCACGAAACCCGACTTCTGCCCCACGGCCGTCGGCGCAAAAAGAGGCGACAGATGCTGCGATGCGGACGCCACTGGGCGCCCAAAGCAGGAACACCTCCGTGTCCCCAGGTTTGACGGCCCGTATGGGAGGCCTGGTGTTGACGGAGAAGGAGGCGAAGGGCTTTGTTTTTAAGGAATCAGATCAGGATCATGTTAGGCCGGCGAGGTGGTCGGCGATCGGGAAAGCATTTACACCCAGGCCGATAAACAAGAGTGCACTGGAAAAATCTATGGCAAGGGCGTGGGGGCTGCACAGAGAAGCACAATTCAAGATCATAGGCAGGAACCTCTTTCTGGTGACTTTTGGCAGTGAAGGAGATTGGAGACACGCGTTGAACAATGGACCATGGCGGTTTAATTTTAATGTTTTAGTGCTAAAGGATTATGATGGAGGCACAAGGCCACCAGAGATGACATTTGATGAGGTGGATGTTTGGGTCCGGGTTGAGGATTTACCTTTAGACAAGCGTTCAAAAGCGTTTGGTGAGGGGCTTGGGAATTGGCTAGGCAAGATTGTGAGGGTAGATGTGGAGAAGGATGGATTTGCAAAGGGGTCGGAGCTGCGTTTCAGAGTTAAACTTCTTGTTATGGAGCCTCTGGTTAGGGGCATTTACCTGAAAAAAATCTGAAGACGACCTGGAGAAGACTTGGTTCGATTTCACGTATGAAAAGATACCGCATTTCTGCTTTGATTGTGGAAGACTGGCACATGGTGAAGGTGGATGCGTTCCGGCAGTGGATCCAGACCATCAGTGGGGGGAATAGCTTAGAGCGTCCCCAGGGCGATCAATGGGACATAAAGATGGCTCGCACCGTGGTTTCTCAGGGAGCGCCAACAGCTTCGGGAGTGCGAGAAGTAGTGAAGGGGAAAGGGGAAGCAGAAGGGCAGGTCCCGTTCGTGATCTTCCTACAAAGCGCAATCTGCATAATGAGTTTGCTACTCCAGCCGTTTCCCGCACTGGTGGGGATGGCATGGGGGATGGAAAGGACGGCAACAATCCTAAGGAGCAGGAACAAGGAGAAGAGAACAAGAAGGGGAGAGATCTAAGGGATGATCTAGAACAAAATAGGGAGAGAGAGCTGCGCTCTAAGTTGAGAGAGAGGCAGCACGAGAAGCAGGCAGAGTTAAGAAACAGTTACAGGCAATATGGGCGATGGGATCATCAGGGGGTGGGATCGTCAAGCAATTTCAATGGGAGAGAACGAAGACATGGTTACTATGTGCGCAAGCCTAGGCCAGAGTATACGGCAGGGCAGCGTTCTCCGAGTAGTCCAAGACAAGAGCCCCAGAGAGATAGGAAGAGGAGGCCAAGGCAGTATTGGGTGGCTAAAGGAGAGGGGGAGAGGCATGAAGGACATGATACTTTCGTTCGTGACACGAGGCAGAAAACCTCGTCCGTGTTTGATCGTATTGAGGAGCACACTGATACATCGGTGGACCCTGCGAGACAGGGCCGCCGGTCGCAATGAATCTTTTGGCCTGGAACTGTCGAGGACTGGGGTTGGACTCGACAGTTGGCGAACTTAGAGACCTGATACGGTCATACAACCCAGCGGTGGTGTTCTTATCGGAGACAAAGAAGAGTGCAAAAGCGATGGAGAGGCTCAAATGGAGCCTTGGCTTTACGTAGGGAGTAGCGGTGAACTGTGTCGGAAAAAGTGGTGGTTTGGCATTGTGGTGGAGAGATCATGTGACTGTAACGGTAAGACATTGGTGTCAGTATTATATAGACTGTCAAATGGAAGTGGATGGGCATATCTATAGGTTCACTGGAATCTATGGGGAGCCATGTGTGGAAAAGAGAAAGAAAACATGGGAAGTTTTAAGGTATTTGCGGACACAAGATGACCTTCCGTGGATCTGTGTTGGAGACTATAACGAGGCTATGGTGCAGAAAGAGCAAATTGGAGGTAAGGCAAGATGTATCAGACAAATGGATGAGTTTAAAGACTGTTTAGCCGACTACGGGCTTGCGGATATAGGTTTTTCAGGGTACCCGTTCACATGGGATAATAAGAGAGATGGAGCTAAAAATATCCATGTCAGATTAGATAGGGCAACTTGTTCAACTTCCTTCATGCAATTGTTCCCGGCGACCGAGGTGAAACACATACTGACCGAAGAATCCGACCACCAAGCTTTGCTTGTCCGTGTTGCGTTGGCACTGGCCGACAACACGGCTCGTCCGCAGCGTCCCTTCATGTTTGAGGCGGCTTGGATGAGACACGTGAATTACGAGGCCATGGTGACCAATGCATGGGAAGCGGCGCATGCAACCAATCAGACGCGGCCGGGGATGGATGCTGCATGTAAACAACTCGCCCTCTTGGCTAAAGCCATGCAAACTTGGAGTAGGGAGGTATTTGGCTCTATAAAAAACAGATTAGTCATCTCAAGTGGCAGTTGAAAGATGCAAAGGAAAGGGCGATCAGAACATGATATAGGCAAGAGATTAAGGACACAGAGGACCAGCTGCATGATCTATATGAAAGAGAAGAGATTTACTATAAGCAAAGATCAAGGATGGATTGGTTACAGTATGGTGATCAAAACACACAGTATTTTCAAAACCGAGCATCGCATAGGAAACGGAAAAATACAGTAAAGGGGCTGCGGAGAGAAGATGGAACTAAATGCACGGATGATGAAGGTATGCGTGAGATGGCTGCAAGTTTTTATGCCCAGCTCTTCACTTCGGAGGGATCGAGGGATGGTGAGAAAATTCTGCAACATATTGATTCGCTGGTAACGGAGGAGTTGAATACGAAATTATCAGCACCGATTACTGATGAAGAGATTGAGAGAGCGTTGTTTCAGATGGGGCCATCAAAGGCGCCAGGGCCAGATGGTTTCCCGGCTATGTTTTATCAACGACACT